AAAAAAAAAAAAAATGAGACTTGTCAACACTGGATTTATCACTCTCACATGGCAATGTCACAGGCAGAGCTGAGTGGCAGTGGTCTCTTTTTTTTGCTGTCCTATTTTATACTATTTTACACCATCCTCAGCACTTGTATTATATCACCAACACATAGGCAACACATCAGCTTCCATCTTTTTTTTTTTTTTTTAAGTTGGAGTCTCACTCTGTCACCCAGACTGGAGTGCAGTGGCACACTCATGACTTTCCACTTTCTTCCTGACAAGTTGCTCCTTGATTGGAAACATACCTTCCTATTCATGTCTGTAACTTTTGGAAGTATGGTCCAGGAGAAAAAGAAGGAATGGAAATCACCTTTGTTGGGCATCTTGGCATGTTTTGGGTGCTGGTAAGTTACTTTCTTAGCTGCTTCCTTATCACATCCTCCGGTTCAATCCCAGCTCATTAGTTACTACACATGTGATCTTTAGTAAATTTCTTAACTTCTCTGAGCCTCAGTTTCTCCAAACGATAAGGTGGGTTGTTGTCAGCATTTAAGGAAAGTGCATGTGTGAATATGCTAGTTCGTGTTAATTTCATAAAGGAGAGATTTACTCATTTTCTAAAGCTTGAAAACACAATCAAGAAATTAGTGGGCTCAGAAAATTCGTAGCTTCTATGCAAGCAAATAAATCCTTTTTTTTTTTGTTTTGTTTTTACATGGGGGATTTTCTGGTGAGAACTGGAAAACCTGCTATACAAATTCTAAAACAGCTATCACACTGCAAAGAAATCCTTCTTAATGCATCGTGAAGGGATGCGTTATCCATGTTATTCATATGCCTTTCATATGAATATGAACATTATGTATATTTCTTTTTTGGGGGGGGGTGTCGGAGTTTTACTCTGTCACCCAGGCTGGAGTGCAGTGGCACACTCATGGCCACCGCAGCCTCAACCTGATGGGCTCAGGCAAACTTTCCTCCTCAGCCTTCCAAGTAGCTGGAACTACAGGCATATGCCACCATGCCCAAATAATTTTTTGATTTATCGTAGAGATGAGGTCTTGCCAAGTTGCCCAGGTTTATCTCACAATCCTCTCTCCTCCACCTCCCAAAGTGCTGGGATTACAGGCGTGAGCCACCATGCCCAGCCTATGCATATGTTTCTAGTTAGACAGCAGAGAGGTAAGAGAGACAATAGCTTGTACTTCTGACATAATCTTCTTATGTAGAGTGAGACTTCTATGATCCCGAGGAGTTCCTTCAGAGGCCCTTACTACTTAACATCACCATTATTTATCTTAAACCTTTTCAGTCCCTTTGAACTTAAGGCTACAAGGTGGTGGCATCATTATTCCATGATGCAGTGGTAGATTTTTAAAAATTTTATTTTTATTTTTTTGAGTTTGAGTCTCACTCTGTCACCCAGGCTGGAGTGCAGTGGCACGTTCACAGATCACTGCAGCCTCGACCAACTGGGCCCTTCCGCCTCAGCGGCCCTGAGTAGCTGGGACACCGCTAAGCATGTGCCACCATGCCTAGTTCATTTAAAAAAATTTTTTTTTTAGTTAGAGTCTCACTCACCCAGGCTGGAGTACAGTGGCACACTCACAGCCACACAGCCACGCCAGCATCAACTTGCTAGGCTCCAGTGATCCTTCCGCCTCAGCCTCCCAAGTAGCTGGAACTACAGGCATATGCTACCATGCCCGGCTAATTTTTGATTTATTGTAGAGATGAGGTCTCACTAAGTTGCCCAGGCTGGTCTCGAACCCTCGGGCTCAGGCAATCCACTTGCCTTGGCCTCCCAAACTACCAGGATTACAGGCTGAGTCACCGAGCCCGGCCTTAATTTTAATTTAAAAATTGTTTTGTAGAGACTAGGTATTACTATGTTGTCTTGGCTGGTCTCAAACTCCTGGGCTCAAGCAATCTTCCTGCCTTAGCTTCCCAAAGTGCCAGGATTACAGGCAAGAGTGACTATGCCCTGCTATAGTTTTAAAATATTAAATTAGCCAGGTGTGGTTAATTTGCCTGTAGTCCCAGCTACTCAGGAGGCTGAGGCAGAAGGATTGCCTGAGCCCTGGAGGTTGAGGCTGCGGTGAGCTGTGATTGTGTCATAGCACTCTAGCCGGGCAGCACAGTGAGACTTCCGACTCAAACTATAAAAAATAAAATATTAGACCCAAACTATTCCTGGAGCGTAGGAACTTTAGAACTTTTCCACTGCCCAGAGTGACATCCAGGAACTGAGCTCTGTCCTCCTCTCTAAAGAGGGCTGAAGGTATACCAACCCAGCTCTCCGTACCTTTCCCACTCGGTATTCCCCCACGAGACAGTCTGAGGTGCAGATTCCTCCCATGAGGTGGTAACTCCACACACAGGATAAGCAACTCAATGCTCCTTTTCCTGAAAAAAACCAAACAAAACAACAAACCAAAACAAAACAATTTTTTTAAAGTGATGAGACTGACAACCTTAGATTTTAGCCTGTCTTGGTTCTGGAACATGTAGGAGCAAGAAATATGTCAAATTAAATTGAAGCAGAAGGGTGAATTGATTGAGCATTAGGAAAAAAGTCTATAAGACAGAGTAAATTAGTTCAATTTTTATAGACTCTCAGTCTGAAAATCAAGGATTTGGGGATGACAGATCTTTTTTTATATGACAGAAAAGATTCCGTCTCAGCCTTCTCAGATAATGAGAAATTATGGAGAAAGTTTATAAAACCCTTATTTGTCATTCTGATCATTTTATTATATTGAGGCGGGGTCTCACTCTGTTGCCCAAGCTGAGGGCAGTGGCATGATCACCACTCACTGCAGCCTTGACCTTCTGGGCTCAGGCAATCCTTCTGCCTAAACCTTCTGAGTAGCTGGGACTACAGGTGCACGCCATTATGGCTAATGTTTTAAAAAATTTTTGTAGAGATGAGGTTTTGCTATGTTGCCCAGGCTGGTCTCTAACTCCTAAGGCTTAAGCAATCTGCTCACCTTGGCCTCCCAAAGTGCTGGGATTACAGGTAAGAGCCATCACGCCTGGCCCCTCCAATTATTGTTTAACTAGTATGGAGGATGATACTAGCTGATTTGGTTCCAATACTCAGTTGGTGAGTAAGTCACGAACAGACAGTCCCTAACTGAGAAACAGTACTAGGCTTGGAGCTTGTTTGGTTTTTTTTTTGTTTTTTTTTTTTTTGAGTTGGAGTCTCACTCTGTCACCCAGACTGGAGTGCAGTGGCCGCTCCCGGCCACCGCAGCCTCGACCTGCTGGGCTCCGGCGATCCTTCCGCCTCAGCCTTCCAAGTAGCTGGAATTACAAGCATGCGCTACCACACCCGGCTGATTTTTTGATTTATTGTGGAGATGAGGTCTCACTGCCCAGGTGGGTCTCGAACCCACGGGCTCAGGCAATCCACTCACCTCAGCCTCCCAAAGGCACGGGATTACAGGCTGAGCCACCGAGCCTGGCTTAGGCTTGGAGCTTAAAATGCTAGGGCTAAAAGGGCTTAACAGATCATCTTGTTTGGTGGTTCTTAATTTTGGGGTGATGGTGGTGATAGATTTCTTTGAAATTCTCTTGAAAGCTACAAGCTCTCTTCTCAGAAATTTGATATCCTATTTATTTATTTTTTTAAATAAAAAAAACCCAAGACCCACATATTGCAGTGTCACCTATCCAAGGTTATATAAATAATGGTCAAGTCAAGAATCAAATTCAGGTTTTGTTGATTCACAGTCCAGTGCATGCACGCACACCCTTCCCTCTCTCTTTTCTGAAACAGGGTCTCACTATGCTACCTCAGCTGGTGTCAAACTCCTCAGCTCAAGCAACCCTCCCACCCCCGCCTCCAGAATAGCTGGGATTACAGGTGTGTGCAGTCACTCCTGGCTCAAGTGCTCTCTCCTTTTTTTTGAATTGGAGTCTCACTCTTTCACCTAGGCTGGAAGGCAGTGTCACGCTCCTGGCTACTGCAGCCTCGACCTGCTGGGCTCAGGTGATCCTTCCGCCTCAGCCTTCCAAGTAGCTGGAATTACAGGCATGGGTCATCAAGTTCAGCTAGTTTTTTGGTTTATTGTAGAGATGAGGTCCCGTCAAGTTACCCAGGCTGGTCTTGAACATGTAGGTTCAGGCAGTCCTCTCACCTCGGCCTCCCAAAGTGCTGGGATTATAGGTGTGAGCCACCGTGCTCAGCCTTCAAGTGCTCTTTCTACCACACTGTCTGCCTTAACACATGAGCCACCAGATAGAGGAGGTCTGAATCTACACGTCCTGTTTCCTGTGGGGACAATTCTCCTGTCTCCTAATTCAGATACCCTAATAATGACTGAACAAATATTTCCCTTTATGTGGGTATCAGGGGATAGATTCTGGAAAGAGTTTGGGGCCAGGCGACTTGAAGTCTAGTTTATTCTTCTAGGAAGGCCCTGGCATTTGTGCTGAGTTTTTTTTTTTTTTTTTGAGTCGGAGTCTCACTCTGTCGCCCAGACTGGAGTGCAGTGGCCGCTCCCGGCCACGGCAGCCTCGAACTGCTGGGCTCCAGAGATCCTTCCGCCTCAGCCTTCCAAGTAGCCAGCTGGGG